AAGGAAAGAAAAGAGATATGTTGTTTCAAAAAACCCAGCTTCTGACCTCCGAGTGGCAGTGTTAATTTTCACCTTCTAATATTTATCTCTGGCTAAAGGGCTATAGGGAACAAAGTTCTTTAGATTTCTTTTAGTGTGGTTTGATAACAAGTAGTAGGAAGAATTGTTAAAATAAGAAGGAAGGTTTTAATCCAGAAGTCAAAAAATAAAGCAACAAAAAGCAGAAGAAAAAATCAGTCCGTTCACTTTAAGAGGAGATGAAAAAAAACATTGCAAGCACTTCAATCCACAAAAAATAGTTACAAAGAGAAAAAACAACTTTCCACAGTGATCCAATTAGGATTATTTCCGCCGCTTAGTTCTTTTGCTTAAAGATCTAATTTGGCTTTAAAGAAACATTTCTTTGGGCAGTCTTTAGCAAAATAGAAAAAATACCTCACCAGATGGACTTACTTTCTCTTTTCACTTCCTTCCTTCCGGAGCGTCCCAATTTCATCAGCCTGGGGGCTGCCTGTTTACAGCTGGTTTGAAGCAGTTCCCTTGGGTCTATCAGGGATTTTGCGATATTCCTGAGACCAGCAAGACTTTGTCTTCCTGATCACTGTCTCTACAGGATGGTTTAGGTCTCAATGGACCATCCAGCAGCAAAAGTGTCAACGGCAGTCTCAGAGTATTGAGACTGCACGTTGTGACATCACGACGTGGATCCTCCTCCTCGCCAGTGCAATTTCTATTGCACTGGCTGGCCACACCCCCAAACCAGCCCACTCTGATGCTTGCCCTGCCTTGCCTTTGCCATGTGGATCCACAGAACTGCCTCCTCCTGCCTACACACAGGTAAGCAGCATTTGTGCTTGCCTAGCCCCCCCTCGCCACCAGCTGTAATCCGGCCCCTGCCTGGTGAACTGGGCAGCCAGCAGGGAAAGCGGGGAGCGGGTGGGGAGGACCGGCCTGGCCTCCAATGTTCCATCCCTCAGGGGCGGTGGCAGCCAGTGGTATGGCAAGCCCCGAGCCAGCATCCCTGTCTCTTTCCTCTGAGAGCTGGCTTGGGGGATGGCCAGCCTCCTCCACCACTGCACCCTTCCCTTGCTGCCCCTGCTGGACGAAGTGTTTGTGGCCAGGCCAGTCCCAGTCACCCACCCACTTGCTGCTTTCCCAGCCAGCTACCCAGCTGACTAGGCAGGGCCCGGGCTGCTGCTGGTGGGGAAGGGGCGAAATGGGAGGTGCCCCACCAGCAGAGGCTCAGTGTGGACAGTGAGGGAAGGGTGCAGCGGCAGGGGAGGCTGGCTGTAACAGTACTTTAATAGTAATCTGAAATATAAATTTATCTTTACTGGTAGCAACTCAACTTTTCCCCATTTCACTGTCCAGAAAATAATGAGAGATGCTGAACCCAGGTTTTGTTGTTTCAGTATTAATCACTACCACAATCTTGTAAGGGACAAAACTCTATTTTTAGGCTTCTCCCTGAGTTGATAGAAATGACCAAAAAGGAAGCAGACAGCCCAGCCTCAACAGAAAAAATAATATTCATAAAGACAAAAGGAGTATGCGTTTTTTCCACCTCAGAGGTGAGGACAAAGGAAAGTAGAAATGTGGTTTTCCAAAGCTGTCCAAAGACCTTTTTCTTTGTTTGTTCAAGTTATCCACTGGTTTGCTGTTTACACTGTGCAATTGGCAGAGTTGCATATAACAGCAGAAATGTATCATAGAGCCGAGGTGGCACAGTGGTTAGGGTGCAGTACTGCAGGCCACTTCAGCTGACTGCTATCTGCAGTTCAGTGGTTCTAATTTCACCGGCTCAAGGTTGACTCAGCCTTCCATCCTTCTGAGGTGNTAACATATGACATATATTAATTCTTCCTAATAATATATTTAAAAATATGCTGAATTCTAGCATTGCCTATAGCATTTTCTTAATTCAGTGTGGGCTTGTGTGTGTGTGTGCGCGCACACATGCATGTCTGTGTTTGAATCAGTTTTTGATGCCTGGTGATTGCCTGGACTAGTCCCTGAAGTTTTCTTTGCAAAGTTTTGTGAAAGTGGTTTGCCTCCTTCCTAGGGCTGAGAGAGACTGGCCCAGGGTCACCCAGGTGGCCTCATGCCCAGGAGAGTCTCCTGCGTTTCTAGCCTGATGCCTTAGCCAGGGTCACTCTGATAAACTGGCACTCATCTAGGGGATTCTAGGGGAGGAAGAAACGAATAACTTTACTGCTGTGCATTATGGTTTTTATGCTTGACACTTCAGTAGATGTGCAAAACAGAACCTACTGTCTGTGCCCAACTTGCCAAATCCTAGTCCAGGCACACATTTTGGAAAATTATTTCTCTCAAATGACCAGAAGTTCATAAAAATGTTGTTTCACAAGGCTGGATCGATAAGAAAGCCAGCAGCAATTCTCCTAAAAGTAACTGAGTAGAAAATTCATGGACAGTTTCTGAAATAATTGCATTAAGAACTCTGTGAAAAATTGTATATTATATAAATGGTACAACTCCTCTGTGAAATTATCCAAAATAAGACATGGTTATAAATGAATTATTTGAGTAATTTATACCAGAAGGAAGAGACTTCAAACAATTTAATGACATCCAAAACAAGAACTACTTTATTCAAAACCTGTGATAAATACACCAATAGAAACAAGGCAAATTGTTAAGCAAGAGTGCTCATATAGTTAAAGAAATCAAAACGTTGATAGACAGTGAGATTAATTTTCTGTTAGTAAAATAAAATCCCATTCCTGTTATAAAACAGGTAACATTTTAAAGCCCAGATCTTCTTTTTGAAAAATCATTATATTAATCTTTCTTAAATATATTGGAGAATATACATGTTTAAAAGCACAGAAAATAAAACTATTGGTATAATGGATAAAGGACAAACCCTCAGTTCTGCCATATAAAGCTTGTCTTTCTCTTAGTACATATTATGAGGCATAAGGGAGTGAAAAAATACAAGTCAGAATTTCTCAAATGATATATACTATCACAGAATAACCCAGAATGCTATATAATTTGAATCATAATTGAGAAATGATCAATCAGCTCCAATATTCCATCTCATAAAATTTTAAATTGTATCTCAGATGTGGATCAAAGCAGCAGAATGGGGTAAATAAATCAATAATAGCTAAGCTGTTACAGACATGAGGTCATAATTACCACTAATACAATTTTCTTAATCTATGAAAATAATAAGTGGGATATGTTGTTAAATTTACTTTGCATAGTTACAATTTTCATTTATTGATCAAATTAACAAATTTTATAAATTCTATAAGCAATCAGAATGGTCATTTCTAAAAATAGGGGTGGTTCCAAACATCTTGGGAAACTGTTTATTTATTTATTTTTATTTATTATTAAAATGTATATGCCACCCAATCCTGAAGGACTCCGGGCGGCTTACAAAAAAGGAAGAGAAGAAAAAAAAAATAGAAAAAAAATAAGAAAAGACGATTTAAAACACAACACATGCATTCGCTCTAACCGGGGCTGGACCTCAACAGTGAGGTCAACAGCCCCAGGCCTGCCGGAACAGCCAGGTCTTAACGGCTTTCCTGAAGGCCATGAGGGTGGGTGAGGTCCGAATCTCTGGTTCCAAAGGGACGGAGCAGCCACAGAGAAGGCTCTCCTCCGGGGGGGCCCACCAGCCGACATTGTCTGGCTGACGGCATCTGAAGGAGGCCCACCCTGTGGGATCTTACCAGCCGCTGGGAGGGATGTGGCAGTAGGCGGTCTCGCAGGTACACTGGCCCTAACCGTTGCTGTCACTATGACCTCAGGTCTGTGGTTAAGGGTTAAACTAAAATAAACTTAATCAAATCAAAATTAGCTTCAGTTCCCATCACTGAAATTGGCTTGGACCTAAACCTACCCTAACCTCTAAACCACACTCGGTCTTGTGTCTTTTTTGTTGTTGCTGCTGTTTTTCTACCCAGTTCGTCATTCTGGGCCCAGTTTACTATTTTCTTTTCCCCCAACGTTTTCCTACAAATGCAGGGTCTGCTTTTAGTGGGGGATCAAATATAAATCCATTGGCTGTGACAGGAATTGACCCACTGGATTGTTATCTGAACCTGACGTTGTGGGCTGAGACAGACCAACTGTCATGTTTTCATGCTTAAGGAAGCGCTGGAAGTCACAGGCTGCTCGTTTCTAGGCTCGTGCCTTAACCATCCGACCAAATGGCCTCTGTGGGCCCAGCTTACTATGTGCCATTACGGTCTGACCCTATTTAGAAACTCATAGAATGGGGATAAAATAAAGAGAACAGTGAAGAAATACCAATTTTTTAGTTAAGTATATTGGCAATTGCAGTTAACTTGAGGGGGAAACAGTTGGCCCTTCATTCAAAATGGCCTGTTTTACCAAGCTGACTATGCATTTTTGTCATTGTTATATAATAAAGTAATAAAGCATCAGATGAGAAAAGGAGAGAGGTGTTGGTGGAGAGGGGGCCCTGATCCAGATACACGTGCAGAATTGACATTATTAAACCGCATGAATTTACTTCCACATGAAACCCACTTTGATTAAGCTGATTTTTGCAACCAATTTTCAAACAAACAAGCTCATATCGAAAAAGTATCAGACTGTGAAAGCTTTCTACGTCCTCATTGATAGTTGGATAGAAAAGGAGTGAAGATAAAGTACTCGGGAGGTGAGAAGACTCGGTCTTGACACAGAGCGTCTCCCTCTGTTTTTGTGAAGGTGATGAGATTGTGACCAGACTATAAACTGGGACGCTGCAGCGCACCTGACACTGTACAGCGCCTGCCCAACCACATGGCAACTGGTCCTTTGAGAGGCCTCTGCCTCTCCGTTGTGGGTTTGGCATGACAGGTTCATGACACGAAGCAAGAATCCGGGGCTGCCCATATATTAAGGCCTGAAGCAGGACAGCTAAGAGTATTACAAGCTCTTACAAAAATGTGTATACAGTTGCCTGGCAGAGTATAACGATCGGTATATGTAAGGCATTATCTAAAATATTCATGTTTACTAGTAGCCCTTTAAAAATATAAATGCAGTAATTAAAAGATTCAAAGGAACAGCAATATAAACAAAAGAGAAATCAACAGAGGACAGTTTTAAACCAGCCTGAATGTGATTTCAATTATCATGATAAATAATTGCTTTATTTCCTTCCCTAACAAGTGTGTCATTGGTATTTTTGTCAGTATTTAGTTTATTTTTCCCCACTCTACAAGGGCCAGAACAAGACCAGAATAAAATGAGACATAATATGCTGGTGTCTGCAGATGCAGAAGGCAGCAATAATTGGTGTAGGTCAACTTGCCTTTTTTCTTCATCTTTTCCTGTCACTTACAAAACACAGCCTTCACTCTGAACGCAATGTTCCCTGGCAAGCAGCACTGGGCTCCTTATCAGTGATGGGTTGCTGTCAAATATTTTTATTTCCCGTAACTCAAGAAAGGGAGAAGACTTGGGGAGAAAAGAAGGCATCGTTTGTAATATTGCTACCATTCTTTAGCAATTATTCTATAAAGATCAAAGGTAGCAAATATTAGCAATGCAAAATGGTGTGACTTCGGTGTTTTATAAAGTTTGAAGAGAAAGCAATTAAGAAGTTCATTTTAAAGTTCAAATTTGATTTCAGGAATTATGTAATCATAACAAAAAACGAGTATAAAAATATTGGGGGGAAAACAAATTTAATAACCATATTCGTCAGGTTTCTTTAAATCCTTTCCTGATGTGATTTGTAATATTTGCCTGCATCCCAATGCTAGCGTTGTATAAAGAAAAGTTTCCCCCAGGAATAGTTTCCCCCTCTGGACCAATTCCTTGGGAAGACATACAGCAATATAACAGCAATATAAACAAAGGGGACAGAGGTTTTATCTCCCACTTAATTAAAGGAGTATGTAAATGGATTGTAACATTTTCACATAATGGAGATTATTTACATATATATTTCAGTATTCTTTCCTCTGTCATTATTTATTTTCCTAAACAAGACAACATTAGAACTTTGGCTTGGAATAAAACGGTAATAATAAACTACATGGAACTTACCATGTAAAGATAAGACACAGCAATGTAGATATTAAAATCAGAACTTGATTAAACATTGCAGACTGTGTGCGCTGGATGGCTCTATGAAGATCATTCTATTTGAAAAGTCCAACCAACAACAAAATTATGAAACCAGCTCATTAAATAAAATGTGAGGCAGCAGCCAAGAAATATGCAATTTTTTAAAATGAAAAAGGCAGTTCAGTTAAATAATGAAACAGTTAGTTGGGTTTTCTGAAATGAGGTGTCATCAAAGCTAACATTACCACTAAATCGCAGGGTGCCCTTTCATACAGAATATCAGAAAACGGGTCCATAAACATCAACTAACCATATATGAAACCATAATTCCTTAAAATTACATTGTAATTTCAGCTACTTATGGCTTAAGAAGTAAATAAGAAGACTTTAGATTCAGAATGAGAAACAGTGGGTAATTTCGCTTCAATTTTACAATATTTTTATGACAGGAAAAAGAACACAGAATTCTGCATATTTTGTATCTTCTGGGGCCGAAGGCAAAATTTATAGAACAAATTACAATAAGCCAACTACAGGTAGTCCTTGATTTACAAACATTTTTTTTGGCAAACATTCAAAGCTTCAATGTCACTGAAAAGTTACTTATAACCAGTCCCCACACTTACGACTATCACAACATCCCCAATTGGCATGTTTTTATGACAGTTGCAGATTCCAGGGTAAAGTTAACACCATTTGTAACCTTCCCAGATGTTTTCTGAAAAGCAAACTCAACAGGAAACTGGATTCACTTAATGACCACACAATTCATTTAACAACTACAATAATTCACTTAACAATTGTGGCAAACAGCTGTGACTCACTTACCAACCCCCTTGCTTAGCAAGGGATATTCTGGTTCTAAATGTGCTCATAAGTCAAGAACTACCTGTAGTATGTAGCCTCTGTATGGCTAACAATGACCAGATTACCAAAAATCTGTGAAGCAAGTAATAATTACTGTTATTTCTCTTTAGCAGATGGAAATCAAACTTAAAACATTAATGGGACTGTTCAATAAAATCTGAATTTAAATGAAAATTTTTGAACAGAAGCTAATGTTTATAATCATATTTGCCTAGATTCCAACAGTACTGAAATGTCCTCCACTCCTCTGCTCGCAACAGAGAATCCCCGGTGCCACCAGACTTGAAACGTTGGGCTTAGACAGCTTAGAACTGTGCCGCCTTCGGTCTGGCCTAAGCGTAAAATTATCTGCTACAATGTCCTGCCTGTCAATGACTACCTTAGACCTTCAATCACACTAGCACACACAACGTATACAAACTCAAGGCTCCAAACTCGATTGCAGAAAGTACGACTTCAGCAACCGAGTGGTCAATGCCTGGAATGCGCTACCTGACTCTGTATCCATTTCATGTAATCATAATCACGTTTATATTTATATCTATCTAATACTTGCTTGATAAAAATAAATAAAATGAAAAATGAAAAATGAAA